CACACAGATGTGTACGGCCACATTGCGGTACGATGTAAGAGCCCTGCAAATCGCAGCGACTGCTGTCTCAAGTGCGGACAAACCGGGCACAAGATAGCCAGCTGCACACAAGAGGCCAAATGCTTCCTATGCACCAGTGCCAGGAAAGCCGACGCAAAGCACATCGCGGGTAGCAGAAGATGCCCTATGAGTACCAAGCCACTGAGAAAGTGAAGATTATCCAAATTAATCTCAACCATTGCGAAGCTGCGCACCACCTGCTGAGCCAAACCATGCGCGAAACTCAAGCCGACGTTGCTCTTATTAGCGAGCCATATATAAGAACCCCGGGGATGGACTACATACTCGACGAGACTAGGAGCGCCGCGATCCTGACAAACGGGGTAAGCCGACCAAGGAACCTGCGCATCGGCTCATTCTATGTCCGGGGGGTGGTTGGTGACCTGTGCCTGTACAGCTGTTACCTACCACCACGCCTAACCCTTCAGGAGTTTTCAGCAATTATAGAGGATCTGGCTAACGACGCAAGAGGAGAGCGGAACGTGGTCATCGCGGGGGACTTTAACGCCTGGGCGGAAGAATGGGGCTCAGTCCACACGAACGCAAGAGGACGAACCCTCCAGGAAGCGTTCGCGTCGCTGGAAGTTGCTCGACCCTTCAGCAGAGCTGGAGCCGGGTCGGTAGTGGACCTCACCTTTTGCAGTAGCTCGCTATTCCAGCGCGCACAGTGGTCCCTCAGCGACGTATACACGGCCAGCGACCACAAAGCGATAATCTGTGACCTTACCAGCAGAAGACGCACCGCAGCCCCACCAACGCAGAGGCAATTCAACCCAAGGACGCTCCAGCGGGACACGTTCCTGAGGGAACTTGGGAATCCTGACATCGGCGGGAACGCAGTGGACAGCGTGGAGTGTCTCACTCGAGCAGTTGAGACGGCATGCAGAGCCAGTATGAAGGTGTCGAGGAGCCATCACCGTCATCGGGAGCCAGTCTATTGGTGGACAGAGGAGATCGCAGAGGCACGCAGAAATTGCCTACGGGCAAGACGGCGTCAGTAAAGGGAGCAGGGCCTCCCCAACAACGAGTTCCGGAGGCAAGAATACGCGGTAAACCGTCGGATCCTGAAGAGACTCATCAAGCAGTCAAAAAGGAGATGCTTCCTGGATCTATGCGATTCAGCCGAGCAGGACCCATGGGGATCAGCGTATAAAATAGTAATAAAAAAGCTAAGTCAAGCGAAACCTCTGAAAGCCGGAGACGCCGCCCACATGACGGCGATCGTGGAAGCCGCAAGCTGCAGACGCGGCTCCTGCGGACGCATCGGCACTGATATTCACATCGGACGAAATACGCAAGGTAGCCAGGGACTTGCCATCGGGAAAAGCACCAGGGCCAGATGGAATCCCGGACATCGCCATCAAGCTAGGAATGAACGAGCACCCGGAAGCCTTCGCAAAGGTTTTCAACCAGGGCCTCACGGAAGGCCTCTTCCCAAAGCGCTGGAAGAGACAGAAGCTGGTACTTCTTCCAAAACCAAACAAGCCTCCCGAGAGTCCATCGTCATACAGGCCGATATGCCTGATTGACCACTTGGGCAAAGCTTTCGAGCGATGCCTGAGCAGTAGACTGCAGGTAGCCATCTCCGCTGCAGGGGACCTTTCGCCAATGCAGTTTGGCTTCAGGAAGGCGAGATCTACCGTGGACGCGATCGCTACAGTGAAGGAGATCGCCTCGAAGGCAGTGCAAGGGACCAGGTGGCAAGGAGGCACCAAGGAGTAGTGTCTAGTGGTGACACTAGACATCCGTAATGCATTCAATTCGGCAAGATGGGACGTCACCATAGGAGCCCTACGGAACCTAGGCGTACCGGATGCATTAGTGGGCATTCTTAAGTCATACTTCAGCGACCGAGTACTAGTCTACGACACAGAAGGGGGCGCACTGGAGCACAGGGCGGAGGGCGGCGAGCGTCGCTAGGGCCCTAGCACGAATAATGCTCAACTGCAGGGGCCCTAGGCAGGGACGCAGGCTTCTGCTACAGTCTGTCTGTAGGGCGACAGCACTATACGCAGCCCCCATATGGGCCGAAGCTACCAACAGGCAGTCTTACATCAGGGGCCTGGAAGCGACGCACAGACTGTGTGCCCTGAGAGTGTGCTCCGGTTTCCGGACAATATCGGATGACGCAGCCCAGGTCATAGCTGGGACCATCCCAATAGACTTGTTGGCGGTAGAGGCAAAGGAGATCTTCGACGCGATTAAGCAGATCGGAGAAGAGTGCAGCACTGCTCAGAGGCGAGCCATAAAAGCCAACGCCAGAGCTCATAGCTTGGAAAGGTGGCAGAGTCGGTGGGAGCAGTCGACGAAGGGGCGATGGACCCACAGGATTATCCCGGACGTGACCAGATGGACCCTAAGACGCCATGGCGAGGTTAACTTCTGGCTGACCCAGATCCTAAGCGGTCATGGGTGTTTTAGAAGCTACCTAACCAGGTTCGGCCACGATGATGACCGCAACTGCCCAGAATGCGGCGTCGAGGAAACTGCCGAGCACATTATTTTTAATTGCCGGAGATTCGACCGCGACCGGGAAGGCTTAATGGGGAATATAATGGAGCCGTCGACCCTAGGGGAGCGCATGATCTCGGACCAGTGTTTCTGGGACCAGTTCAGCAAGTTCGCTGCGGACTCGATGAAGCGGTTGCGTGCAGCTGAGAGGGAAAGAGCCAGAATACGCCCACCGGATTAACACAGAGCGCACCCTGGCCCTGCGAAGCATAGCCTAGCGGTAGTAGCGCAGGGACTCCAGGATCTACCTTGTTCCTGTTATTCCAAACAACCCGAACCCCTCCTCCTCCTCCCTCCCCAACCACCCGCAAACGTGTATATATTTGTATATCCTCAATCAACACAAATAAAACCTGATTTAAAAAAAAAAAAAAAAAAAAAACATATGTGTACTATATAAAAGTGTGTATCCCAGATGCTTGTTTGTATATATATTGTCGCAGCATCAGTCAGGATTAGTTGTAGAAGTTTACCAGTACGACTAGTGGCCCCATCTTGTTTGCCATGCTGTACCCGTCACGCAGAACGCTCCAACATGCTGCCAGTTGTACCGCCCATAACCCACCGCCCACTTTCCACCCAAAACAGCAGCCCAGCCACCCAGCCACCCACCTCCCAGCCGCTACTGGTAGCCTTGTCCTTGTGTTGTGTCTTGTCTTGTTGAAGTTTTCTGCACCGACGTTGTTGTAACTGGCTTTGGCTGTTTGTCTTGTCTATTCCATTCCATCGGAATGTGTGCCGGGGAAGTTGCTCTCGTTTTGTTTGCTTAACTCATTGCCGTTGAAAAGGCCATAGAAATTAGTTAGGTAATTTCGCCGAAAGTTCCACTAAAAGTAAAATTGAAATGTTTTTTAAAAGCCCTATTTAGAGAGCTCAACGCAAGAGTTCGACATTCACACGAACACTCGACCTGGCATACGGAAATAGCCAGATGCCGATTCGATTTTGTAATCTTGAACAAACTATATATTCTTTATAAATAAAACATTTAGTGATATCATTTAATCGCTGACGGCTTTTACATACATCAGCAGAACCTCTCATTATTTTATTTGTTTAATTGGCATATCACTCTTTCGAAGACAGTTTGCATTGATTTGATCTCATGCATCGGAGCAGAAACTAATTCTCCCGTCATTCAGTTCCGGCATCTAAGCATGTTCAACTGTGAATGTCCTCCTGCCACATGAGGATGTGTCCACCAGGAAGATTGTACGACATATGGCCTTCAATAGGTCAAATGCAGTCAACAATGTGGCCCCTTTATTCCTCAATAAAAAAGGCGATTCCAATCGATATGAGCAGGTGGGCATCGTCACCTGTGGATTAGGATGTGGATCAGTTTTACCTGATGTATACACTGATGTTTCGAAAATGCGGCCCTGGATTAGACTATCAGATCCAAGAAAACGCAGTCGCTTATCAACCGCAAAATGCAGGGGATGGAGAAAAACTACCAAGACAATACTTTAGAGACTTATAATACAAATTCTGTAAAGTAAAAACAAATAAGTAAGGGCAAATATTTAATCTTTCCTTATTTAAAAATAGGTATATTTCTGAAACGTTTATGCCAAAAACATTTAATAGCCATATCAAACAGCATGAGATGTTGGGCATTAATTAGCCAAAACAGCTAGTTCATATAACAAACTGCGTTCATTCTTCTACTTTCGACTAATTGTGGACTTGTGCGGGTCGTTTCATTGATTTATGGCTGCTAATTTCAACGCTTGGCGTTCAAAGTATTAAATAATAAACTCTATTCCGCCAGGACCCTCTCGATCCCGCTGTTTTTCCGATTACCCGTCATAACTCCACCCACATCATCTTCCTCGAGCTCCTGCTGAGCTGCAGTGTCGGTCTAGATGAGGCGCCATGCAATACGAGACTATAGGAGCGAGCTCCCTTTCTGGTCGCCCGGCAGACTTCAGAAGTGTTTCCCTGGATTTTATGGGCCAGTTTGAAACTCGGGCGGGAGTTTTGCCGTTCCCTCTGGACGTGTAATGAAATTAAAGGCGTAATGCAATACAGCTGGCAAAGTTTTTGCAGCGGGTATTTCCATGGGTTCTCGTTAATATTTGCTCTTTTGCCCGCCAGTAGACGTCGTCGCTTCTCCAGCCAGGCATTAAATTTAATTAATATTTTCCGTTTTTTAACAGACTGCGGTCTTCAAACAATTTGATACCGTTCGGCTTTTTTTTTGAGATGCTATTTTTTCCAGCATCTCTCTGTTTGAGAATATTTTGTAATATAAAAGTGAAATTTCATGCTACTTTGAACATTTGATAAACCTATGCAACTTCAATCAACTTGGCCTTGCTTTTTAATTCAGAATCACTTTGACATTACTGTGAAAATTCAGTTCCTTAATTCAGTATCACTAGCAAATTGCTGGCAAACAGACTTTTCAAGCTAAATAAGTAAAAACAACTAAGAAATGAGTTCACAACCAAATTTAACTCCACCAGGAAATTCAGCCCCAAAAAAAACGGTTCGCAAGATCCCCGAGGAGTCCTCAATATCCACTGTCCACCCGGTGGCCACATCTACACCAACTTATATGACACGCAACCGCCAAAGGCTTCTATCGCTCCAGATGGATTCTAATGCATTCATTTCGAAAAATTCGTCATTGGTGGATCCAATTCCACCCACGTTCGAGCATATTCGTGGCCGAAAGGATATTCACGATCCTAGTACTCCAAAAACTCCTATATTCCCAAGGACTAGATCCCGGAATTTACCAAATACTCCAGTGCGTGTTACCTCAAATAAAAATACCCCTAAGCCGAAGACACCGGCTCAAAAAAAGAAAACTCCTGCAAAGACGCCAAAAAAGACTCAAAAAACTACGCAAAATATTGCAGCATTAAATTCACCGCCAGCAGTGGAATCACACATTGATTCAACCGAGATGTCACTGAAAATTCTGCCAAAGAACTCATCAGAAAAATCAATTATATTACCAGAATCACAAATGGTGTCCCCATCGAAACCTTCGAAAGAGCTATCAATTGAAGAACCAGTGAAGTTGCCAACGATATCATCAAAGATGTCATTAATGATTTCGTCGATGAAGTCTGCACTTAAGCGAAAGATGTCTCGTGAAGTAAATTCACCTGAAGAAGTATCCAATAGGGAAAATTCCGCTGCAGAAGATAGTTCGGAGTCGCCTTTAAAAAAGGCTCGTCTCAATATATTCCAAGTTAATTTGGGATCACCATTCTCCATGATACGCTGCAAGAAACTTAAATCAATCGCAGTAGATGAAAATCAGGAATCATATGAAGCACCTCCTGTTAATTTAGGCCAAATCAACACAAGTATGGGCATGGAGTCCACTGAAACCACCAACTGTTGTACAACAAAGAAAGCAAGGATTAACCAATTATGTTTTATTTCGTAAGGTCATCAAAGCTTTACAAAATATTTTTTTTACTGGTTGCTTTGGTGAGTAGGATACGATTTTTATAGGAATGTTCTGAATTGTTACCATATATCTTATTCCATGGGTACCAATGTTCTTGGATGCTCCTAAATATACATCAATGCCACGCGGCAGGCCTTAAAACTTATTCCTTTGCCGAGTTCCAGCACCAGCCTGATTGTATAATCTACACTCTTGCAGACGATAAAGTTCTTTCAGCGCACTTTGTAAGCTGGCAAAATGCACAGAAATGGCATTATCACGTTGCACACAGCTAATTTGCAAGCAATGGACGAGGAGGTGGAATACAGCCATGGACGGGAACGGGGTACAAAAAGATCGGCCAAAGAGAAAAGAAAACTGAATTATATTTGCACAATAAACTTGGCAGCCGCCGTCTCTCTATATTATTATTCTGCCAGTTGTTTGTTTGTACTTGTGTGTTCCCTTGTATCTGTGGGCAATAGTAATAAGATGCAAGCACACCAAGTATTCCTTTTGCACAATTTTCCTATCCCACCCGCCAAATGAGACTGGGAAATAAAAGCCCCGGTCAAATTAGAATATATTATAATTTATGCTAAAGCACGGAATAAAACATTTTCTAGATCAACAATTTCTTGTATTTCATGTTGTTGATAGAAAACCGTGTTAAAATACTTAAATACAATTAAATTGCATAAAAATGTATATTTTACATGATTTATTGAAGAAATCATTGTAACTTTCTTATTGCTAGATATTATTGCAGGAAATAAAAAAGTTTTTTCAGTGTGCCATGAAAATGCGGAAAAAAAGGAGCAAGAACTGCGGTTCAATGGGAGAAACACTTTTGCGCTGGGATGGTTGGGTGCATATAAAGAAATTTGCATGGATTTTGAACGTAATAAGCGAAATGTGACTGCAAAATCCAATTTGTAATGAGAAAAGTAGTGCGAATTGTCTGTGTAGGTAGGTGTGCGGTAGCTACAAAAATATTGGAGCATATTTCTAGGCGTATTTATGGGATGCGCTTAGTTTGCCTTCACATAGCATGATGGTTGTCTTGGGCTAAGGGGTGAGGAGGCTAGGAGGCGTGGCAGGGGGACTGGGGACTGAGCGCGTGCTAAAATTATGCAATACAATTATGCGAACTGGCCCGCAACTCGGCGCTTGCATGTGTGTGTGTACTGCGCCTCGAAACGTGACTTGTTTTTGGTAGGCTTACGCTGGGGATCCCCCAATTTGTTTGCGGCTGCTTCGTGGTGTTTTTCCTCATTTTATGCCGGCCTGGACTACAAAGGGATTTGTTTCGAGAGCAATGGATAAGTTTGTGGACCAAAGTGCACAGCTGCACACTGGGAACGCAAAATTTTCAAATTATGCCATAGTATTCAAAGGCTTAAATTATATTTCTATTGTGTATTAAATACAGCTTATTTGAATTGTTTATTTAGCTATTATTAGTTTAATTTAAACGATGAAATGAAATAACAGTTTTATATACTTCCAACTGAAAGTTGGACATGCTTTGATGCTTTGCTTTGATTCATTTCAGTGTGCACAGCCATTTAAATTTTGTCTCTCCATTTAAAAATAATTTCCTGCAAGCGCTGGAAAGTATGCTATAATTCACACGTAGCACAAACAACTGGCCAGAACCTGCGGTTGCCAAAAGGAACGGGAAAAGGCCTTCCTGTTTACAATTCATAAGCAATTTCGGACTGGCGACAAGGCGAGTCGGAGTTCCCATGTTGGGAAATCAACCTCGGCCCCACACGATTTTTAATTATTTTGTTGCATTTTCATTTCAGCTCTGTGCTTTGTTTTGCTTACCCGAATAAACAAGGTCCAATGGTCGCCTGTTTTTCATGGCGAAAAAGAATGCGGGCTTCTCGAGGATGGCAATGCTCGTTCCTTGACCGTGTATTCTCTTTTGTATAATTACAAAACGTGATTTTCTTTTTATTTAGTTCTCTTTTTTTTGGCAGACAACATTTCACGTGTTATGTTAATTTTTTGTCTGTGTTTCCTAGCTTAAATTATTGTGAGGTCCTCAAATGGCCCGTTTTGGTTGGTTTTTTGTTTTTTCAGAGGGCAATGTATTGTCCAGAGGTGTCATAAAATAAAAGTTCATAAATATTTACTGCACGTTTTATTAGTTGCTACCACGTTGACGACGTTGTCCCAACTCTGGGGTAACTTAAACACATTTAAATACTATACCCCTGATATTTTTTAAATATTTAAAATATTTATTTTTATTATTATTGTTATGTATATAATATATTTATTTAAAATATCTATCTATTTAAAAAGTATATGTAGAAAGCAAAAAATCAAACAAGGTTTTAATAAACCTTTTAATATTTGGCTGGGAATCAAGTTTTAATATCGAATACTAAAACTTTTTTGCTGGTTTCTGCTTCGATTTCTTATTTATTTACCCTAGAACAGTAATGGAGTTGTTGTGTGTTGCGCAAACCATTCAAACACTCCATTCAAACACTCCAATCAAACACTTGCCAATAATACATTTTAATTAATTGCATTATGTAACTAAACAAGTAAATTCCGTATGTCAAATTGAATGAAATTTTGATGGAATGTCTACCATTCTAAGCTGTAGTCGTATTCATGTGTTGACTTCGCTATGGCCATTGATGTCAAATTAAATCAATCATACGCACTGTGTACCCAACGCAGACATCATTTAACATAAACGGAGCTCCGATCGATACACAGAAGGTGAAAATCAGACCCATTGAACCGCAAATGCGACGTCAAGCAATTTCATGCCGGCGAAAATCTTTCAAAGTTAATTTTCCACACACGAGAAAACAGAGGAGTCAAGACAGCTACTCAGGAACGAGAAAATTGTACGACTTCAAAGAGTCAATAAGCAGCCAAATATAGACGAATGGCGGTAGCGGTGGAGGTGGCGGAGGGATGTTGGCCAGCTAAACCAGGTGGGCGCGTCCAATGGAAATGGCTCGGCTGCCTGGCAAACAAGCTGACTGATAACGGAAGCTGGCTGTGCACGTGTTTACCTCTCGATATTTGCCGGCTGCCATGGAAAAGGATGTCCTCGCCACCTCGCCTTCTAGCGCACACCCACCCGTGCTCAGTCTGTCTCTGTTTGTCCTGTCGCAGGACGATAATGACGACTGGTTGAAACGGGGAAGGGGGCTACATCGCCCCTGGCCGCTGCTGATGTCACACATTCATGGTCATTTTGCTGAGTCAATCGTTTGAAAAATTTATGTTGCCTTCAAAAGCAAAAATTGCCATTACTGTCGTTTGATTCCCAGCAGTGGAGGCAATCACAGTGGTGAAACATTGCTAAAATAATCTGTAAATTTTCGGAATATTTTAAAGTAGTGCCTAATATGGTAGAACAATTATACCTTAAAACGAGTCTCCCACCGAAATGGTTATTTCTAAAATAGAGACCTAATTTATTTAGCAAGTTCGTTGATATCGCTTTGCTACTTAAATATGATAATTAAGGTTAAATTATTTAATTAGAATAAGAATTAGTTAATAAGAAATAAGGAAAGTAAACAAAGCCTTGTAATGCCTTGTGCTGATAGAAATTAAATATGTGCGATCCTTATAAATGATACCATTGAAAATTCATTTAAGTGTGTGAGAGCTTAGCCACTGTGCGACTGCGAGTCAGAGGGAGAAAGGTATATGCCGGAAAAGGGACGGAGATAGTCAATAGATGCGGTTCATTTAACTTGACTGAATGTGCATCGCCTGCTAACCTGCTTCCATTCGCATTGTCTCCTTGGCAGTCTGGTCGGATCGGGTTTCATCCGTTTCGACCATGGCCTCAACCTCAATTCGTGTTTATGAAGTGCTGATGTGTGTCTGATTTAATTGGAATTTGATGCAATTTTCAATGTATGCCGTCTAAGTCAGCAAAAGTGTTTCACTACACTTCAGTCATGTTTAACCACTTAATTATGACACTTTGGGGAAAACATTTGCTTTGAGTTGACTTGCAAAAGGGATGTGAATATTTTTACCTGCAATGGCTGATTAGCTGCTCATGTGGGTTGATAAGTATTTACAATGACAAGGGCTTTAAACAAATAATGCACCAGGAGAATTTCAAATTTAAGTGCAGTCAGGAATAGTCCTAGTTTTCAGCTAATTAAAAACAAAAATGATTTTCTTTAATCTCTAGCAATCTTATTGCTATGAACAAATTATGGCTTTCAACTATATATTTTTTTAAATTTGTCCTTGACTCCTTTAATTTGTAATTTTAACTTCTATGTTAATTTATTTGCAGAACAATATTACTATACCATTGTTGCTGCACATAAAAAGCGAAAAACGTACGAGTATATTAGTCCTTATATATATACGTGTGTTTATGCCAGGGAGAAAGCATCCGACTCTTTTGAGTCAAAATGTAGCTATTCTTGTACTTAAAATTACTTTAAATATAACGCTTTAAAAATATTAAGTTCGCTAAAGAAAAAACATAAAACATACTTCAAAAAAGCGACAAAGTTTTATTCAAACACAATAAAAGTTAAGGGATAGTTTGAGCAAATTTGTGGAGGAAATCAGTGGAGAAATGTATATATTTACGAATTCAGACCGAGGGTTTGATAAAAAAAAAACACACGATTGAGTTTTATATTTTATTAAACCTTTTTATTAATTCCATTTATGGAAAGAACTAGAGCCATTTGATTATCACGAAATTGGAAAGTTAAATTGGCTTAAGCGGTGTTATCGCGGTTGATAACGTACTCAGTACTGAACTGCTGCATGGAGGCATGCTTGCTGTTTTATAGGCAATTTGGGGAAGCCAAAGAGCGAAGTTTAAGAGAGTTGGGTTGTAAACCTCTATTTTCTTGTTGGAAGAGAGTCTTCTGAAGAATAGGGGTAATTGGAGAATCCTGGGACAAGTGCGTAGGCGTAGGCGCCGATCGCGAAAGTTTATTATTTCAGTTGGCTCGCCAAGTGGTCGAATGCAA